TTTGTTCTTTTTGCTTAGTCTTGCTTTGGCTATGTGGGCTCTTTTTTGGTTCCATGTGAATTTTAGAATTGTTTTTTCTAATTCTGTGAAGAATGGTGGTGGTATTTTGATGTGAATTACATTGAATTTGTAGATTGCTTTTGGCAGTATGGTTATTTTCACAATATTGATTCTACCCATCCATGAGCATGGAATGTGTTTCTGTTTGTTTGGGTCATCTATGATATCTTTCAGCAGTATTTTGTAGTTTTCCTTGTAGAGGTCTTTTGCCTCCTTGGTTAGGTATATTCCTAAGTATTTTACTTTATTTTTGTTTCAAGCTATTGTGAAAGGGATTGAGTTCTTGAGTTGATTCTTAGCTTGATCACTGTTGGTGTATAGCAGAACTACTGATTTGTGTCCATTAATTTTGTATCCTGAAACCTTTGCTGAATTCATTTACCAGTTCTAGGAGCTTTCTGGATGAGTCTTTAGGGTTTTCTAGGTATATGATCATATCATCAGCAAACAGTGACAGTTTGTCTTCCTCTTTACCAATTTGGATGCCCTTTCTTTCTTTCTCTTGTCAGATTGCTCTGGCTAGGACTTTCACTACTATGTTGAATAGAAGTGGTGACAGTGGTCATTCTTGTCTTGTTCAGGTTCTCAGGGGTAATGCTTTCAACTTTTCCCCATTCAATATAATGTTTGAGTGGGTGTGTCATAGATGGCTTTTATTACCTTAAGGAATGTCCCTTCTATGCTGATTTTGTTGAGGGTTTTAATCATACAGCGATGCTAGATTTTGTCAAATACTTTTTCTGCATCTATTGAGATGATCATGGGATTTTTGGTTTTAATTCTGTCTATGTGGTATATCACATTTATTGCTGTCTCTTATACACATCTAGATGTGTATAAGAGACAGCAATATCAGAGCAGGGTGAGGGTGAGGGAGATGTGAGCCTGGAGGGAAGGGACGTGTGCTGAAGTTCTTTTGTTGAAGAGGCCGCTAGAAATACT